TTAATACCACCACCACCTAGGCTAGACCACAACCAATGACCTCTACCACCACCACAACCACCACCACCACCACCAACAACAATTTCTTATGATTAAAACAACAACAACAACAACAACAACAACAACAACAACAACAACAACAACAACAACAACAACAACAACAACAACAGCAGCATCAGCAGCAAACTACGTCGAATATATTTTTTTAAAAAGTCAGATACATTTAGGTTAAAGACAACTCGTGAAAAGGGCCTAGCCAAAATAAAGCAGAAAATAAGAAAGCAAAGCGTGATAAAAATCATTATAACTATAGCTGGACAGAGTGAATGTGCTAAAGTCACCATTGTAGAAGATGCCATAAATATTCACGCTGACAGCTTTGAGCGTCGCATGAAACCTGGGATTATACCGTACTGATACGACCAGCTATGTGGGGGTATTTTGCACTAGCAAGACTGTTCTGGTCAACTCGTTGCGTATTGTTCACGCAGTTTAAAGTATGGGCGGTGGACAGCGAGTTAATGTATTCTATTTGTCTCGTTTACCTATTTTGGCTTGTAGTACGTAGCTTCATTTTTTTCCCATTCCAGGAATGTGATTTGAATACGACCAGTCTCACACAGTGAAGACAATGATTTGTGTGGCATCATGGTGAAATCAGGCGCTTGTCGAAATAATGCAATCGAAGAAACCGGCATTTTCTCTCCCATTGGGCAATTCTATCGGGTTTTTAGGGGTTTTTTATTTTTCAAAAAGGGCTCAACACTTTTTATGTCCATTTAAGAGTACGTATTTCATAGCATATTTTTACTGGAAAATGTTGATCATAAGACGCACAAAAATGTCAATTTACAATTTCCACGGACACTTAAGCTTTGAAAGTAACCAAGATTAATTAACTAGCCTTTTTTCTCTCACAAATTATACCTTTGACACTAGGCGACCCCCACCTCCTTCAATCTCAGACGTCTCGACTTCTATTCAAGACAGAAGGGTAGTTTTTACGTCAAAAGCCAGGCATGTGAACACGTTTTTAAATGATACCAATAATTCCACATGTCAAAAAATTGTCAATAGTCTGATTCCACCGTGTCGTGACACAATTTTCCAAGATGACAAGACTAGCGTAATTTAAGGTAGGGGGGATATCTCGAGGAGGAAAGGAGCTATTGGCAGTGAGGAAATGTCAATAGTTTTATCTATCGATTGAAAGCTTACGAGATCTATATCTGTGCAATAAAAGTTCCCTATGTCTTAGTACG